ATCATCCCTAACCAAGAGGTCTCAGGTTCGATTCCCCTTGGGTACGGAGTCGCCTTGAATGATATATTTACCAACAAACTAACAATCAATTAGTAAATTTATTAGAAAAACAAATAATCATACTAACGTATTTAAAATTTATTACCAACAAGGGTTGTGGTGGAGTGGTAAGTACTCCTTCATCCTTAACCAAGAAGTCTCAGGTTCGATTCCCCTTAGATACGGAGTTGCCTTTGTTAGGGAGCGCTTTACTCCCCAAAAATTAGTTGGTGAATTTACCAACAGAAATTTCAGGGCCATGTTTCAAAATTTTGTAACAACATCTTTGGGTGTTTACCAACTGATTTTTTGTTGATAAGTTTACCAACAATTAAAATCGATTGGTAATATTTACCGACGAGCCTTTTAGTAACGGATTAATATAAGTTGGCATTTGGTTGGTAACTCAATTTGCCAATCAAATTTATCAACGAATTTTTTTGTTGGTAATTGAGGTTCCTTTTGTAGTTTGTACCCTTTGTAAGACATTTAGTTATAAGTTGTGCCTTGTAAGACATTTTGGTGTTTGTGACCCTTTGTAAGACATTTAGGTAGTTGAGCCTTGTAAGGCATTTTGGTGTTTGCGACTTGCTTGTTATGATGTGTCTTAATATATTTGTCATGATGTGCCTTGTATTCTCCGTTGGACCTTATATATATTCACACAATTCTCCAAAGGCTTTCAAATCCTAAATCACTCTAAATCTCTTTGATCTTCAATATCCTAAATTTTTTCTTAAGTTATTAAAGCAAAAAGAAAATAACTTTACATCAATCGTTGTAGAATCAAGACTAATATAAGGTAAGTTAGTGGTAAACTTCTAAATTTATATTTTTAATTAATAGTTTAATTTTAATTTGTAGTTTCAATATTGATGTAATTTTTTTCTTATTTTGATATATAGATGAATCAAGGAAATTTTATACATCCTAGACCAATTGAGTATGATGTTTTAACGTTATAACAAGATCATCGATCTGAAAAAATCTAAAATGGTGAAATAACTGCGAAGGATACACATTTAACAGTGCACCGATATGATCATGAATTATTGCAACACATACTAAATAATTCACGTCATCGTTGTGTACTAAATTATTTTAATTACACGGATTTTAGAGGTGTTCATGAAGTAGGATACATTCCGTGCGATACCAGCATTATTACTACTTTGATTGAAAGGTGACGGCCACAAACTCATACCTTTCATATGAGTACTGGTGAAACAACAATAACTATGCAGGACATGAAAATTATGTTCGGCATGATTGTTGATGGTACACTGATTCTTCTAAAAAACGTTAAATTCATAGATTTGGTTACTATAAAAAATTAAATTTATGATTTAACCGGTTGGTTTCCTCCACAAAATTGTTTTCAAGGGTATATAATTTTTTTTATCATCATTAATTAATTATATAAAAAATTCAAATGAAATAATCAATAATTCCACTGATGTAGAGGTACTACAAAAATTTAGATTGTACTTATTTTGGTTGCTCAGAGGAACATTATTTCCTGAAGGAAATTTACTTATGATTTTTTTTAATTGAAATGAGTGACATACATGTATTAGCAACACAAGCTTGGGGAGCTACCACACTTTCTTACTTGTATCATTCATTATGTGGTGAAGTAAGAAAGTGTGGCAGCTTCCCAAGCTTGTGTTGCCATTGCATGTATGCTACTCATTTCAATAAAAAAAAATCATAAGTAAATTTACTTCCTGATTTATTAGGAAATAATGTTCCTCTGAGCAACCAGAATAGGGAGAATCTAACTTTTTGTAGTACCTCTACATCACTGGAATTATCGGTTATTTCATTTGAATTTTCTATATAATTAATTAATGATGATGAACAAATTATATACCCTTGAAAGTAATTTTGTGGAGAAATCCAACTAGTTAAATTATAAATTAAATTTTATCTTGTAACCAATCTATGAATTTAGCTTTTTTTAGAAGGGTGTACCATCAACAACCACATCAAACATAACTTCCATGTCCTGCATAATTATTATTGTTTCACCAGTTCTAATATGAAATATATGAGTTTCTGGCCACCACCTTTCAATCAAAGCAGTAATAGTCGGCATTGCACAGAATGTGTCCTACTTCAAGAACACCTCTAAAACCTGTGTAATTAAAACAAGTTAATATACGAGGATGAAGTGGATTATTTTGTATGTGTTTCCAAAATTCATGATCATGTCGGCACATTGTTAAATGTGCATCCATCGTAGTTATTTCACCATTTCAGATTTTTTCAGACTGATGATCTTGTTGTAACGTTAAAACATCATACTCAATTGGTTTTAGATGTATAAATTTCCTTGATTCATCTATATATCAAAATGAGAAAAATAAATTACATCTGTATTGATGCTACAAATTAAAATTAAATCATAATTAAAAATATAAATTTAAAAATTTACCATTTAATTACCTTATATTAGTCTTGATTCTACAAAGGATTGATGTAAAGTTATTTTTTTACTTTGATAACTTAAGAAAAGATTTAGGGTATAGAAGATTTAGATTTAAATATTTATATATTTTGGGATGAGCTAATATTAAGAATTTGAATAAATAAAAGATTATTTTCTAGAATAAATAATAATAAAAATTGAGCCGGGTGTATTTTTAGATCAAAAGCTGAAATGAGGGGCATCTTTGAACTAAAAACAAAGATGCTGAATATTTTTAGACCAAAAAATGGAAGGAGAGTAATTATTTACTTGTGTCCAGGGGCGGAGCTAGCATATAGTTAGGAGGTTCATCTGAACCCCATTCGGCGGAAAATATTACTATTTATATATGGTTAACATTATTTTTTATGTATACATAGTAGATGTCGAACCCCCTTCGATTAGTTTGTGGTTTACTTCTTCAGATTTTGAACCCCTTATTAAAAATCCTAGCTCCATCATTGCTTGTGTCACGTTTAAATAGGTACGAACATATGATGTCATCCTTCTATTTGCTTGAGCATAAATTCTTTCTTCTATTATGTTTTTTTTTTTGTTTTGTTTCATATATATTTGAATTTGATGATGTATAATTATATCAAGTTGCTTCTTTTTTTATACACAGTTGTGGCTTGATATTTGGTGACTGCAACATGAACTTCTTCATCGAACAATGTTTGATTATAAAGATTTATATGTTAAGCTATACATCAGAGCAACGAAATCTTAGTAGGTTAGTTGGTGGCCCTGAACTTTTATCTTATTTTGATTCCCCATTATAATTAACCACCTCCTTTATTTTCCGTTTCCTTATCGCCAATTAATAAAAAATGATAAGTCATATATACTCCCTCCATTCTACTTTGGTTACCTTATTTACAATTTCTTCTGTGTCAATCAGTATGATATATTTTGCATTTCGAAACTCAAACGATTATATTTTCATATGGCTTATGAATATGAAGTGCTGGTGATTGTAATTTATAAATTTTTTTACATAATTTTCAAATATGTAGATTTTATTTTAAGACATTTTAATATTACGTACTATCAAAATTAAGAATTTTTCTTCTTTAATGTTTTTTCTGAAAATATTTTTCAAATGTATATATTAATTTTATTTCCAATAATTTGAAGAATCTATGTCCAAAAATTAAATGTAATTTGACCCTCGTACTGGGAACCACACCAAACAATGTGGAATGGTAGGAGTAACTAATAAAGAACATACCATGTGATTTAAGTTTTTTTGTTGGTTATCCTTCCAGTGCTCAGATTAATGTGGATTCACGTCGAAAAATTTCAATTTTTTTTGATACTTTTGCATGTTGAGGTTGATCAGATGTGTGACCACAAAGTTTATTGTTATGATGCAGGTAGATTGTTGAAAGAATTAGCTATCACGGAGTACATGCAGAAGCAAAATATTAGAACAAAAGTATATAAAGTTTTTGGAAGAGCTCGCAACTCATTTGCTATCCTTACCATTTCATCGCAACAATAAAAGAGTTGCGATGTTTAATTACTCTCTTCATCTCAATTTATGTGACATCATTTGACCGGATACGAAGTTTAAAAATAAGGGAAGACTTGGTTATGCTACCCAATTGTCCTTACTAAAGTTGCCTTAATGCTTACTTTTAGTTGAGTTTTCTTCTCAATAAAGTCTGAATGACAGCAAAATAGTAATCAAAAGTGCATACATGTCTGTGAATCCTACAATATATATTTCACCACACTTGAAATCAAAAGTCAATAAAAGCATAAAGCTATAAGAAATTAATGTTAGACACATTTTATACTAATTTCTATCCATAGCCTTCTTTGTCTATTTGAAACTGTATGTAATTTTGCAATTAACCATATGAGAATTTATATGTTGCAATAAACTAGTAGATAATAGAGGATTCATATTACCCAAGTAACAATACAATACATTACGAAAGAATATGTTGCTAGTTCATTCTTAGACCATATCTTTGACGTCTCTTCTTTTGCCTTGTTCGCTTCTTAGCAGCAATTTGCTGAGAAATATCTTCAGCAAAGTTCACATACCATTTTGGTTTTTCCAGTAGGAACATGAGGCCTCCCATCAACAATCCAAATATCATACCAAAACCATAACCTATTACGAAAGGATAGCCGGACCCGTTGAAAGCCGGCATTTATTGATGGCTCGGATAGAAAGCTGGGCTAGGTCTTCTTCCCTTAGAGAGGCTTATTCTCCTTTCCCGAGTTTTCAAATATTTGCTTTTGTCTCTGTTTATTCTATTATTAGTTCTATTGTTCCGATCCGCTTGTGTTTCAGGAAATCAAACCGAAGTCAATTCATTCAACAAGATCTGTTCGGATCAGATCTACCAGCGACCGGATTACCATAGCTTCCCATGTGAATCCGCTCACAAAAAATGAATCATCATCATCATCTTGTTCAAGTGGCGACTCATCTGACACATTATTGTTTCCACATTCCTTTGAAAGTGGAAATCCACATAAATCAGGATTTTCACAATATGAATCATTTGGAAATGTATTGAACTGCGCCCAGCCAAATGATTGTATGAAAGGTTTAAGACCTCAAAAACTGTCAAACACGACAATAGACCTGGAATTTCTCCAATGAGTCTGTTCCATGAGAAATCTAATGCTTTGAGCGCCTGCAACTTTGCAATTTCTGCAGGAATATGACCGTGGAAGCTGTTGTGAGACAGGTTGAGTAGCACAAGTGAGCTCAGACTTCCAATGGAATTTGGAATATCTCCTTCAAACCTGTTGCTTGATAAATCAACACTTGTCATGATTGATGTGATTCTCATATCATACGCATTACCTTTTATCACCTTGTAAGTTGTAAAGGTAATACGTGTGAGTATTTGTACTTTTTTTTTTCTTCATCCACATCCATCATACCCTTTAAACTTTTGAACAGATTAAATGGCAAAGTTCCAGTGAACCCATCGAAGGTTTATACGATAATATTTTTTCTTTATGGGTCATTCCATCATTGGTTTATGTTTTCGTTTCCCTTATGTTTTAGTATAGTAAGGATAATATCACTTAATGCCTTTTGGTAGATCACGATTTTATCATCATCATTTAGGCTTTATTTATAGACGAAGTGATCGTTAAGAACTTACTGTTCAATATTGAATGAAGTCTTTTCGCGTAATTGATATGTTGGAAAGGATACATTTCACTAGTCTTTAGAGTTTTTTGACCTGTGTATGTATAAAGTATAATAATTCAGGTATAAAATGTAAGACTATTTTACTTTGTGTTTAGTTTGAGTTATTATATCGTCCTGAAATTATTTGTCACATTATTTATATCTTAGTGATGAGATAAATTATCTCATATATATATGATGAAATAACTTATCCCAAAATAATTTATTTCAAATTAATTAATTTTGAGATAATTTGTCGCCAACCAAATGATGCGCTTATAAGCTATTTCAACTATGCCTCTATATTCTCACAGAGTAATTTAGTTAGCAGTAGGCTGTAGAAACTGAATAGTATTCCAACTAACTAAAAGGTTTATATTGAAATAAGTTCAAATGGAAGAAAAAAATTTGTTAATAGAAATCTATTTCTTTTTCCATATATATTTTTAAGTAATAAGTAAAAGTTTTGGTGGCCCAAATATTCCGTCATCCACCTTTGGGTCCAATATTGACCACTTTTATAGTGGATTATCATTTAAATATTTTTTAAGTACGTGACGACCATCTATTGGTTACAATTTAATTATTTAAATTAATTTATAAACTCATTCATTACTAATTATATTCAATCCAAATTGACTACACTCTACTCGAGTTAACTATATCCGACCCAAATTAACTACACTCGTTCCAAATTACATTTACTCCACCGATTAAAACATATACACCCTTAATTTGGATATGATATAGTTAACTTGAGTTGAGTGTAGTCAATATGGGTCGATATAAGTAGTAATGAATGAGTTTATAAATTAATTTAAATAATTAAATTGTAACCAATAGATGGTCGCCACGTATTTAAAAAATTTATTTAAATTATTTAAATAATAATTTGTTATAAAAGTGGTCAGTATTGGACTCAAAGATGGATGACAAGGGTATTTGGGTTCCAATAGGTATATGATAGGGGCTGAGAACCCTAGGCCCGCCTACGTGGCGCCACCATAAACCAGGATTCCCTTTAATTTTATTTATTTCCAAAATTAGCCTTCCCTTTCATGAAAAGTTGTGTCTTTTATAAAAAAAATGTGACTTTTATAAAAAGTTGCGACTTTTACGAAGAGTAGCAACTTTTATGAAGAATTGCAACTTTTATGAAGAGTTGCGACTTTTATGAAAAGTTGCAACTTTTATTAAAAGTTGTGACTTTTGTGAAAGGTTGTGACTTTTTCAAAGAGTTGTGACCTTTTCAATAAGGCACAATAATCATTTATTCACACTACCCTTTGTTGTCTATAAATAAAATGATTTCTTCTCATTTTAAAACAACGAAAATTATGGACTTCTTCTTCTTCTTCTGCACAATTAAATATTCGTGTACTTTGATCCTGTTGAGTGGCTCACTGACACCATTGTTTTTGTATCAATACACTGGTGAATACAATCGTTCTATCCTGAGAGGATCTATTTCTTTAAACCTCGAGTACTAGAGGGAAGAATTTCCTTAAGGGGGACAATGTGCATTCAGTGGACTCAATTTTTTCCATTCTATTTCATTCTATTGTTACAGATCCTGGTATGTTTTTACAGTCATTAATTTATGCTTGTGTTATTAATTGTTATTTTTGAGTACATATTTTAAACTTTGTTGTTTATGTTTATGCTTTTGATCATTATGTTGAAGTAAAGATATGTTAATAAAGAATTTGATGTAATCATTAGACTATTGGTGTCATGTTGATTAAAATTCTTAAACTTGTAAAATAAATGACTTTGATCTTTATAGAGTTTTCAGTGGCTAAAAGATCTATGGGTTGTCCAAGAAGGGACTTTCGAGTGTTCAGAAGTTATGGTGGTTCCACACTACCTTGGAGTTTTAGTTATTCAATTTTCTATCTTATTGAGACATTCAATCGATTAGTGACATCCAAAAAATAAAGGAATGTAGTGGGATGGTAAGTATTGTACTCAACCTTAATCAAAAGTTTGGAGTTCAAATGTTGGATTTGAGTCAATGAATTACCCCTCAAAGTAGGATGAATCCATATTAATCAAATATTAATGAAATAATTATCTCCTTATAAACATTAGATTAAAAGTCGCAAAAAAAAAGTTTTACCCATATTGATTGAAACATAAAGAACAAAATATGCCTTTTGGCTATCAAAGTAGTCTCATCGACTGCGAGTGATTTTGAATAAGGGACTTGCCAATAAATCATTTAATCCAAATTGTTTGAGCGGCATACGTTATTTCATTGAACTCCAAGAGATGTGTTTTTACCATGTAATTAACTTATCAAGTACACAACTAATTATATAAGATGTATAATATTTTGATTATGTATGTAAAGGCCTTGAATAGGAAAAAAAAACTCTCGCAATTGATGAATTAAATGTTTGTACCACTTTTTGAAAATATAAATATAGACAATGAAACAATTACATATATTTTCTAAAGACTATGATGATGAATAACTATAGTAAAATGAAGAATTAATAACAAAATGCATAAACACTTAGAATTAAATCTTTTGGTTTAAGATTAAAAAAATATTTCATTTCATCTTTGGATAAAATATTCTTGACAATTTATCGTAGGACTATACCCACTCGAAAACACTTATATTATCAAATGTTCAGAAGTAGATTATTGACGTAGTTCACCACCGCGCGAAGCACGGACAATTCACCTAGTTTTTAATAGTTCAAGGATATTTTAGGCTCTTTTTTCATTGTTTTTGAAGCCCAATGTTTTATCACTTGCGGACGCTATTTGAGTTATTGTGATTTTTATGTTACCACCTGGTATTGCAAAAAAATTTCCTTTTCCTATAAGTAGAAGTTTTAAAGGTAGGACAAAAGGGCAGTATCGGCATTTTATCAATAATTATTCAGCATATATATATTATTGTAAAGTAATTTTTTTAGCTTTGAGCTTCCTCTGCTTGCTTTTTCCCTCCATCTCTAATGGGTTTTCTTCTCTCTTTCATTAACAGTTCCTCTTTCTATTTTTTGCTTAATTTTTCATTATGAATGAAAATGTTTGCCCATTTTGTTTGAATGAAAATTGCACTTTGTTTATGTTTAATTGTGTGATATGTTGTTTCCCTATTCTCTTTGAATAATGTCTTTCTAGAATTCTTACATGCATGTCACTAATTTTTGTAATTGAATGAATTTTATACCAATTTGAAGTGGATTATGCACATAAGGTGCTTGGTATTATGTATGTAAGAGCTGAAATTTAACTTTTATATTTTGTTGTTTTTTTTTTTCACGATTATGTATTGTTTTTTGTGATGAAATGAAAATTCCATTCCATTTGATTTAGTTAATCGCATATATCCATTATTAACTTGTAGAATAATCTTTTTTGGACAGGAGAATTCATAAATATATGAAATTGTTTGGTATCATTTTGAAATAACAAGTCAAAGGTCGTCAACATAGGTACCTTTTGTTTCATAATTGTAGAAAATTATTATCTAGTTACTCATGTTAATGTTCTATGTTCAAATATTATTTACAATTGTGTTAATACAGTTTGATGTTTATCAAAATAAAATGTAAAATTTGTTTACATATAAAGAGCTCTTTAGATAATGAACTTATGCAGAACATCATGTATAGTTTAATGAGCAATTTGCTCTTTTCATCCCATAATATGTCTGTGTATAGTAGTTGGATGCTACATTTCATATGACTATTAAAGAAGGTTAATACTTATGTAGTAGATTAAACGATGAGATTCTTCATAGGACGTTAGATAGTGATTGTTCCTTCAACTACCAAACACATGTTACAAACATGCCACTTCTTTAAGCTCTGGTCTAATTCCACAGTGTTCTGCCACTTTTAGATGAATTTTGGTTTTAATTTTCAATTTTAGGATCTCTTGTAGTTGTCTTTGCCTAATTTTCTTCTACTTCCGTCATTCTTCTTTTTCTCTCTGTTCTTGATTTGTCTGATTCTGCTTCTTTGCATAAGGAAAGTGCACTTGTTAAACGAGGTAAGATTGTTGAGGTCTTATCTTAAGGTTTAAGATTGAAGTTTTAACTCTCATTTCAAAGTTGGATCAGACAATTGAAAGATTCAAATGTGATACAACTATTGTCAACCAAGAACTTCTGCACAGACTAAATTAGATTCGAATGTAGTAGGGATTGGGTTTTATATCTTTCCGTTTGACTAGATGACTTTTTTTTCTTAGAGATATGATTCGAAATTTTTATGCATGTTGGTCCCTTTTTGTTGTTTGATATTCGGGTTACTCATTGCCCTTTGTTTCTATGTTTGATTCAGCAAAACACACTATGATTTTCAGTTCAAGTTTCTTTTTTCGCTTCTTTGGTCACATATATATAGATGGTAGGTAAAGAGGACAAGTATAATAGTTTGGGATAAGATTTTTCATTGAAGTTACTAGTATGTAGAGTTTTTTATCTTTTCTGTCACGACCCGGGAGCACCCCCTAGTCGTAACACGGCGTACTCGACCCCGAAGGGATCTTATACAAGCCTCATAGCTCATTCATTGTATAAGATACTTGAAAACAAAGAGGAATTAAAAACTTTCTTTACAATCAAAAACATTTTCATTAAAAAGCAAGCGGAAGACTTTCTAGACTTTG